GTAAATCAGATCATGTCATTTTTGGTTCTGAATCTTCCGGAGCCTGCACATCACCCTCAGAGTAAAATCCGAAGTTCTTAAGTTCCTACAAGGTTTTACTAGCTCTAGCCCCCATTTTTTTCTAAGCTCATCTCATCCCAATACCTGGTTACTCCCTTTGCTCTAGGCACACTGGCCTCCTCTCTGTTCCTTAAAATTCTGGGTCTTTGTATTTACTGGTCCTCTCACCTGGAAACTTCTCCCTCAGGTATCCCTCAGGGCCTTCTCTCTTACCTTTTTCAACCCTGCTGTGAGCCTTTCTTGACTACCCAGTTTAAGATTGCTTGTACTTACCAACTCTCAGTATTATCTCTCCTTTGTTTTTCTTTTCAGAAGTTATTCCTTCTAACTTACTATCATTTACTGATTTGTTTATTATCTCCCCAAACAGAATACAAGCTCCACATGAGTGGAACTTTTGTCTGTTTGTTCATTGCTAATAGGATTTCTTTAAAACTCTTAATAGGCTTGCCACTATCAGTCTTGATGTGGTTCTCTGGTCTCTATGAGAAAAGAATACAGTATTTTAAATAAAGAATGTTTCTTATGCAGAGCTGCACTGGGAAAAACATTTTTTTAAAAATTTGGTTAGAAAGAGGATAATGGAAAAAAGAAAAAGAAATGAAAGATGGTTTAATATGTTAAATTAGAGACCTGGAGCAAAGGGGTTTGTTGATGAAGCTAGAAAAATTGGGGATAGTTTTCACTTTGAGTTAAAAAAAGGCAACTATTTATTATGAACAAGTTGTCTTTTAGATGTTTAAAACAAAGTGTTTTGTAAGCAATTTGGTCTTACAGGTACAGTTTGGTATAAGATTGAAACTTCTCTCTTGGTAATTTTCAGATTTGTTAGAAAAAATTCTCAAGTGTGAAGGTAGGGGTTTAAAAAAATTATAAATTTTATAAAAATATTTGGACACTACAGTCCTTAGGAAAATTCCTTCAAAACTAAATTTTTAAACACTTTCAATTCAGCTTTCACCAAGTATGTTGTGAAATGCTTTTTATCACAGGATAAAGCAATAAAAGTCTGATAGATCTTTAGTGGAAGCAACTCTTATTTTCAATCATAAAAAAAAAAGTCACACAAAGAAATTTATTTTGAGAGAGGTTTAAAGGATGGGCATTTAAATGTTAAAGCCTTGATTGTTCTTCTGTTAAATCTTTTTCATTTCAAAATATGGCCTTTGATTTTGTTCCAAAAGACTTCTATTTTTGTTTTACTAAGAAGTAGTCTAATGGATGATGATATTGTCCATACTCTGGCTAGTGATCCATCTCGGCATTGTCCTGGTGAATTTCATACAAATAATTTTACAAAGGTTTATTATGTTTCTTACCACCCCCCATGGGAACTTGGGTTTGGCAGCCTTCTATTAGTGATTATAATATGCAGCTTGAGTTGATTCAGGACACTGGGCTGTGATGTATTCTATTTAAAAATCCATTTGGAGGCATTAGCAGAAGGTTTGTCAGAGTAGTGTCATAATTGAGGTGTCAGTTTCTTGATTCTTTAGCTGTATGACTAAATAGAATTTGATTACCTCTCAAGAAGTGGTTTAAGGTTCACCATTTTCTTACTTATTTGAAAAAGCAAACACTATTTTAGTATTAGAAAAACTCAGGTGTTAACTTTTGAAAACAAGTTAGAGGTATAGTCTTCTTTGTAATAGATATAATTTTCATAATTTTCCTATATGGATAGCCTAGCACCAATTTTTTGTGGTTTATCCTTTCCATACTCTCTGTTACATAGCATTGTCCCATATGTAAAAAAAAGAAAAAAATTATTGCTAAGACTGAATTGATTTATTTGCTATCCATTTGCCAATACCATATTATTATAATTCTATATAACATCATAATATAACTTTCCCACTTAATTTCCAATTCTATACACTTTATTTTATTTAGTCTTGTCTTTTTGCATTGGCTGGAACTGCAATACACTGTTGACAAGAAGTGGTGACAGCAGGTCTCAAGGATATTTCTGACTCCTTTTTTTCTGATTTTAAAGGGAGTAACTAAAGTTTTTCATTGTGTGATGTTTTCTATTAGTTTCTTTCCCCCCATAAATACCTTTTTAATGATGTATATTTTACATATAACATTGTATTAGTTTCAGGTATATAACATAATGATTTGATATCTATATATATTGTGAAAATGACCAACAAAGTTAGTCTAGTTAATATTTATCACTATATATAGTTACAATTTTTTTGTGATGATAATTTTAAAGATCTACCCTCTTAGCAACTTTCAAATATAGAGGTTTATGCTCATGGGTTATATATACAATACATGAAGCAGAAATCTATACGTAAATGTATCAGAGTTCTTTCTACATCCTTTTGTGCTGGTTTGCCCCCATGCTACTGTCTTCAGAGTGGCTCAAGGCTCAGTTCTTTGAACTCTTATCTAGCTATACTCATTCTCTTTTGCTCTTATCCAGTCTCAAGCCATTAGATAACATCAATGTACACACTGATGACCCAAAATTTTTTTTATCTCCAGTCTAGAACTCTCTTCTGAATTCAGAAACCTATGCCCAAAAAAACCTGTATGCAAAAGCTTCTTAAGATATCTCATAGGCCTATTAAACTTAATATACTCAAAGCTTAGTTCCTGATATCCAACACTCCCCACCCCTAATCCAGCTCCTTCTACAGTCTTTCCAAATCATTAAATGGTAGCATATCCGGGTACCCCAGTTTTACATGCTTTCTCAGCATAATTCTTAATAACATCCTGTTTAACTTTTAAAAGTGCCTTCTTTAAATTCAAAAATCATGACATATTACATGCTCACATTAGTTAATAATAATTCAGTTTTCTAATTCCTAAGCCCCCCAATAGTATCTATACTGTCTTCCTTTCTTCCATATTTCACATTTAGTTTCTCAGCAAATCCTGTGGGTCTTTCTGTAAAAAATATACACAGAATTCCACCGTATCTCACATGACCATTGCCATGATGAGGATTTAGGCCAGTATCATGTCTTACCTGGGTGATTGCAATAGCCGTCTAAGTGGCCTCACTGGCTCTAGGGTTTGCTATTAAAATATGTATTAGATGATGTTGCTTGTCTGTTTCAGAACCTCTATCTTTTGATAGGCTTCTGTAATATCAAAATTTTCCAGCCTGCTTGGACTTAGGAGATGTATCCCCTTGCCTCAATTACATTTCCATCACCACATTCTTCATAGTTGTTGGAACAATTACAACCACTATTTTGCCCACTTGCCAAGACTGAAATGTGTTATTTGATTCCTGGCTACCAAGGCTACCAAACTGGACTTTGGTTCTTTTACTTCGCATCTGCAGCTGTGTCTATCCTCTTCTTTTGCTCTTGCTTTTTTCAGCCATGTTGGGTAGAACTTACATGGCCCTAGTAATATTCAGTATGCCCCACCCTGCTTTAAGTAAGCAAGCCAGTTCCCTTTGTTTGCTTAATTAAGACTGCCAACATCTGGAAGTAAAGGAGGAAGCCAAGTTCATTACAGAAGTGGACTAGTTTGCATACTAATAGTAGCAGTGTTCATATTTTGCTCAAATGTATCTACTGCCAAATTACCTGTCCTTTGAATTGATTTGAAGACAATATCTAGAGTTGTATATACACTCTAATTTGATGATTTTTCCACATCAAATCTCCCTTTTAGGTCAATATTTTTGGGATGGTGAATTTCCACAAAGATGTAAAGATATATAGAAAGTGAACTTGGGAAGAAATACACATATTTCATCACAATATCAGTCCAAGAGAAATCTACTCCTTTAAACATGATAGTAGGTAGTTTATTAGGACCTAAAATTTTCATGCAAGCCTCCTCCCCAATAAAACGTTTATGATGGCATTTCCGAGAGATGGTGTGACAAAATTTCTTTCCAATCAGTCAAATTATTTTTTAGTATTTAAAATGAAACAACAAATGGAAAAGTTTGACATGCCCTTGATTTCTAAGCAATTACTGGAAAAGACATGCCTCAGTCTTTGAGGTTTTTGTTTTGGGTATTGCTAAAATCTTTAAATTAATAGCATATAATTCATTTATACTCTGTCTTGATAGATTATTTACACATTATGTTTTTAAACATGAATCATTGGACAGATCTGACTAAACTTAGGTTTCTTAAAAATCACAGTGTTGAACTCTTTTTACTCTCCTTTGGGGCATATTAAAGTTCATATTTAGTAATGTCCTATAAATTAACATACATGGAAATACAAAGTTAAAATTAATGGCTTCAAATTTAACTCAAACAATCACCTTAACCATTTGGTAAAATGAACAATTTGTAAAAGTTTAAAAATATACCTAGAAAAATTTATAATAAACAGTGAGGACTAATTTTACTCAGGTTCTGGGAACTTTTACAATAGAATTAACAGATGAAGGAGCAACCTTCAGCCCATAATGATGAAATGATAGATTTAACTACTTGTATGCTTTGATGCAGCAAATGAAACTTGAATCCTAAAATCTTAACTGTCTTCTTACTTCTTCATCATTAAAAAAGTTGTATTTATGCTATCAGAAATTATCTATATCTCAAGTATATCAATCTGATATTACAACTGCATTTAGGAATTATAGATAAATCCTCATGTCAGAAACCCTGCTTTTTATTATTTTATTATTTTATTTTTAATTTTTTTTCTTAGAAGGCCTACTTTTTAGATCATCCCTCTACACAGAAAAAAGAAATCACTGCTCATACTGAATTCCATGAAATATTATCAATAAAACTTCCTTTTTTGCTCCTTTTACCAACTGGCTAAGGCCTCTAATGATTGGGAAACTGGCTTTCTATGAAGCAAAGGAGTTGGAAAAGATATCTTAGAATGTTATTGTTATATCTTCTTTTTCTCCCAGAAATTAACACCTGAAATTTCAATATTAAGTGTTGTAAATCACTAATCCTGATTATCATTAATTTTCCTTTATTTTTTCAGAAAGTTGATGTGAAGATGTCCCAAGAGTATGAGATCTGGAAGAGTTTGCCGTAAGTGTGTGTCATTGACTGGTACCTTTAGACATTACTAAGGTTAGATAATGTCATGGTTAGTCTCTTTGCTTCCTCCTCACCTTCATACTCATTTGCTGCCTGGAGATTGGAGGATGGGAGAGAAAGAGAAAGAGAGAGCCATCTTTCTTTCCTCCCCACCCACTTTGACACCACACCTTTGGCTGTAATGGATCTCTCAGGGAGCTCCTTCTAGATGGGTCTTCTGCAAGATTCAAGCTGTCATTGGCTCTGCGTTCCCAGGGGTGAGTAGCTGATGCTTTGTTGTTACTAGTTTCTGGATGCCTCAAAATCATTTGTATATTCTCTTAACTCTGCCTTTGCCTTTGTAAACAACCCCTTAATTATTAAATTTCCTTCATCTGAGCCATGAGTTGATTGTGATATTGAATGATACAAACAAACCTCAAACAGAGTGAAATATTTATTTTTTATGTACTTAATGACATCCAAGCAGGGGAATTTTTCAGACACATTTAGTGACAAGTCATAGTTTATTGAGTTTATTTCAATCTTTAGATTTTATTTAATCTCTAAGGGTTCTGACCAGCGATCACTGTGACACCTGTATGTTTAACTTGCACACAAAGCTGCTGACTTGTAAAATTAACAAGTGTGACTTCTATCCCTCCTATTCTATCTTTGAGTTCCTAAAGACAATATCAAACATCACTACAAAAATGTAACTTGAGGAGCACCAGTTGTAAATCACTTTGCCTTGGCATAGAAAATGCTAAATACTTTCTGTATAAGATCACGGATATAGCAGCAATAAAATTGTCAAACAAGAAAATTCCAGTGGAGCCACAAGTGATCATATTTACCTCAACTGCTCTACAATTTGAAGCAGGAGAAGGGAATAGGTAGAAATCTGATAGTGCAAAACAGAGAAAAACCACAGAGCAGAGGTCTCACTCACTGTAATGACAGAAAACTTTTATAGGTTCCATGGAGCCTAGAAACTGTAACATAAGTAGACTGAGACCCAGAGATTATTCACATTTTGGTTCCATCAACAACTAATATACAACCTGTGCATGTATCTTTACCTCCTGAAGTTTTGTTTGATGTCTTTAATTTTATTTTAAGGATAAAAACATCTACCTTAGAGAGGGAGTATAAGAGTTAGATGAAATAAAGTATAATGTTTATGTAGTGTAGCTAGTCTGGCACCAAGCAAGTACATATTCAGTAATGATTTTTTTTTAAAGATTTTTATTGGGGAATTGAGGGGATGGAAACAGACAAGTTGCTGTCGTTTTTGTTCTTCAGTCTAGTTGTGGAGGACGTTGCTTCACTGGCCCAAGTTGGCACCATCATTGCGCTCTTCCCGGGTGAGGCAGATCAGTCGCCGGCTTCTGGATGGCCGCTCACTGCGGCTGCTGGCCGCTCACGCTGGCTGCAGGCTACATACGGTAGCCCATGAAAACCCACTGCAGCAGGACCTGCAGCCTACACCGTCGCCGGTGACTCAAGGCAGCCCAGCTCCAGGTTGAGCTGTTGTTCAGCATCTTAGCTGTGGAGGGCAGTGTCACTGGCCCTCATATGTGGGATCCGAACCGGGGCCCTCTGGCGTCCCAAGCCAGTTCTTAACCATCGCACCACTCTGCCGGCCCTTCAGTAATGATTTTGTTTTACTTTCCTTTTTCTCTCATTGTTCTGGTAACCTAAGGTGTTTTACAGAACCTATCCTAGTGCTAAGGAACCCAGAAGGTGGCATTTTGAAAAGGTTCTAGGTATCATATGTAATGAGTACAGTAATGCTATATACTTCTATAATTACAACCACTTATTTAGTAGTATAAACACAAGAAACTCCCAATATAGGCAAAAATTGCAATACATATATAATATACAATATATATGTATATTATATATATAACACATAATATAATATAATTGTAATATACTGTAAATATACATTTACAGAGACTGGTATTCCTTACACAGTATGGAAACAATCTGGCATGGAGGGTGAGAAACCATGGGACAAGAGAAGGATCAATTGGTAACTAAATGAGCAAAAACAAGAGACAGCCAATCGGAATCACACCAGGGGATAGTTCCTAATGACTTCTAGATTTTTGTTTTTGTTTTTAATTTATTTTTTATTAGTTTCAAATGTACAAAATAATGCAATAGTTATACTTTTCACTCTCATAAAGTGACAGCCTCCCTCCCCCAATCCACCCCCCCGATATCATACATATCTATTATAATTCCATTGGCTTCATTCCCACACTATACTTCACACCCAGTGACTATATATGTATTAAATTATAGTTGACATACATTATACAACATCAGCTTTAGGTGTACAGTGCAGTGATCAAACCTCTACCCAATCCATGAAGTGGTCTCCCTAACAAGATATGTGACCATATGACACCCTGCAAAATATTTACAACATCCTAATAACTTCTAGGATTTACTCTCATGAAGAAAAATTAGTAGTTTACTCTAGAACTGCACTAAAATTTTGCTTAAATATAATCTGCAGCTGACTATTCATTGTGAGGGCGTAGCCTTATAGTTCCTGGATCTTGATAAGTGGCAGATACTGATTAAGGAGACATGTTTTCTTTTCTTTTATTTATTTTAATTTTGAATAGTTTTGTGAGTTCTCTCTCTGTGAAGAGGGCCTGCCCTTTGGGGTGTGCCACTAGCTATACAATTATTCAAGAATTGTGTTTGTTAAAAACTATGCCATAGAACAAAGAGTCAAAATTATTGCTAATGTTTTTCTTTCTAAGGATTGCTTTGGCTATTTATTCAGGGTCTTTAATAAGTTTTCTGAATGGAACAAGAAAAAAAATGTAACTTTGAGTTGTCCACTGAATTCTTCTCAATTAGAGAAACAACTTTGGAAATGAATTCAAACTGATATGTATGTTAAATAATATGAGGCCCTTGTTGATTTGCTTGTCTTAATTGATATAGGTCAAATAAAAAGCTAAACTAATCTAAGAATTAAATAGGGATTTAAAGTTAGATAATTAGAGTAGAGGGTAAGAGAATTACTCAAGGTTATAATCCACAAAAAACATATATAAATTTAGGAGAGAAAAGATGAAACAAATAAGAAACAGTGCTGAACAAAGGGACTAGTAGAATGGGTTAAGTTAAATAAGTAATGATGTATAATAAAAAAATTACTATCTGAATTCAAAGAAACAGTAAGTACAATATTTGAGTCATAGGGCAAGTGGTAGGGAGACAATTTTGGAGAAACTGTTCTCCTTTTGGAAAATGACAAAACCTTAGATTGGTTAATTTTTATTTCAAATAAAGAAAAACTAAGTAAAAGGCAAAACCAAAGCAGAAATGTATTTTGTAGTACATTTAAGAAGGTTGATTCATTACATATGATGTATATAAATATATACAATAAACTACAAATACACATTTTTTTCAAAGATACATGGAATAATAGTCTTTGAAAGTATTAGACTAAAATAGTTTCAAGAAGTTATAAGGAGAAAAGGAAAGATTGTATACAAATATTATTCACTCGTTAAAAAACAATTAAAAGATATTAAAAAATAAAAGTTCAAACCTATCCTCAGCAATTTAAAAGTTAAAAATACTATTTAAAAATTATTTAAAAATAAATAATGCTGTGGCCAGAAATAGTTCTCAGTTGCAACTTTATAACACTAAATACTCAAAAGCAAAGAACTAACTGGAAATAAAAGAACAATTAAATATATGTAAAGGTAAATTAAGAGTAAAATAGTCATTAATATATTAATAACTATTCATTAATAGATTTGGAAATCAAGTTAGACTTGCTCAATAATACCAAAATGTGTGTTTTCAAAAAAATCAATACAATAAAAAGAAGGAATAATTTTTGTAAGCATATTGGGTTGTCAGAAAAGTCATGACGTATTTTTTTTCTATGTTTTTCGTTGCAAAAATGCATCATGACTTTTCTGACAACCCAAAATTTTATCAAATAAAGGAGATTATGCAAATTAACATTATAAATGAGAATATCATAGTAACAAGAGGAATATTAAGAGTATCACCTGACTTCTTGCTGCGTATACTAAAATGCTAGAAAACAGATAAGCAACACACCATTTAATATAAAGCTGCCAAAGCTTTTAAGTTAAAAAAATAAATAAATAAAGCATTTTCCTTAGCCTCTTCAGATAGCAAATGATTCTAAAATGAAAAAAACGGTTTTAGGACAAAGATCAAATTCAGAACACTTAAGAGAAAACATGGTCTGAAGATGAAATCCTTGTAACACTCAAAAAAGATTTGAGGTTTTATCTCAAAGATCCTTTCAAACAGGCAAAAGGTCCTGTGAAGGTCTTAAGGATACATGTAAGGACATACTTCTGAGAATGTTAGAGGCACTGTTCCTCCTGCAGGCTCACAAAGATCCCAAGAAAGAATGACTTTCCTCAAAGAAATTTGTGGGTGGATTATAATGGAGCCCATTACAAACTGACACACAAAAGCCTCCAAAGGTTTTAAAAGAATTATACCAGCTTGGATTGAAAGAAACAGGGACAGTACAAAAGAAAAAAATAGGACTTTGGACTCCCCAACTTTATGGACATGAATCATACTTCAAACCCTATTCTACTGCATATATGAGCTAAATTTTATTGAAAAGGAAGGGTGGACCCAAGGTACTTGATGGCAGACCCAAGAGCCACAGAGTATAACTCTCAGGCTGTAGAAATGAGCCCCAGTTAGGGAGCTGGAAACATGTGCAGGCTGGATTTTAGAATTGCCATGGACCTTGAGTCATGTGGGTCTCACACTTCCATCCTTTCTTGGGTGGGAGTGTGCATAGTGTCTATCTGCACCTATCCCACCATTGTATGTTGGATATTAGGGTGGGTAAATAATTCGTCTCTTTATTTCAAAAATGTTTGAAATTGATTTGAGTGGAACAGTATTCAATGAGCTGTACTTGAGGAATTACACCTAAACCTCATCCACACCTCAACCTTATTTA